AGTGGTGCGCTCCAAACGGAACGCCATCCGAGCTGCGTATGCCAGCACGGAATCCAGCTGGCCGAGACGTGTCCCCGCACGAAGGACTGACGCCCAGCATGCGGCCCCGTAGAACATCTGTGGAATGAAGGCTCTCCTGACAAATAACAGAAATGTGTAAGGATCAAGGCCCCAAGAGCGACCAATGCAGCGCCTGAGCACCCACAGCCGCCTCCGAGCCCTCACCACCAACTCCTCTACCTGACGACCCCAAGTCAAGAAATCATCAAACCACACCCCCAGATAGCGAACCACCCGAGCATGCGAAATGACCCCAGACCCAAGCCACGCCTCAAAAGGCCTCTCTATCCGCGTCTGCCAATAACGAAAAAGGATCGCCTGACATTTCGCCACTGAGAATACTACTCGCCAGAAAGACGCCCAACCACCCACAGCCCGCAGTGCCACTCGGAGCCCCCTATGCGTCCTCCCATCCCGGAAATCTCCACTCGCCCATGCAGCTAGATCGTCCGCAAATGCCTGTACGCCTACCTCCCGGATCCTACCTAGAATCCAAAGAAGATCATCAATAAAAACTATAAATAATGGCGGAGAGAGCGGGGAGCCCTGCGGCACCCCGCACTCGGGGCGAATCTCCACCTCCGCCTCCCCGAGTCCCAGGAAACTACGCCTACCCATTAAGAACCCCTGCGTCCAGCTAACTATATACTCCGGAACCCCCTTCCGTCTCAGCTTCTCAAGCAAACCCGCCTGCCACACCGTATCATATGCTGCCTGGATATCTAACATCACCGCTTGAACCTGGTGCCGCCGGCGAAACGCGGCCGTCACGGCCTCCGTAATCCGGCAGCATGCCTCCTCTGTCTCTCTACCCCATCTGAACCCACACTGATGAGGTGATAAAAGATGTTTAGACTCCAGGAAATCCATTAATCTTCTGCACATAATTTTCTCCAAAAATTTACCCATGACAGACAGCAAGCTGATCGGCCTGTAACTTCTAGGGGACGAATAATCCTCTTTGCCAGGTTTCCGCAAGGCAATCACCTTTGCGGTGCGCCAGGCCAGAGGCACATGGCCCAGCGCCAAACACCCCTGATAAATCCTGACTAACCATGGCAAAACCGTCATCAAACATCTCCTGTACACTATAGCTGGAATCCCATCTAGGCCCGGCGCAGACTCCCCACGGGTCCTCCTAATCGCGAGTATAACCTCCCCACGGGAGACCGCCGGGGCCTCGCCCTGGCCCGGCGGCCTGTGCGTGCTCCACGCATGCTCTATGGTCCTCTGCCAGGTGCGCCGTCTCCCCCCCCCACTCTCAGGGAGAGGCGGGAAGAATACAGCCGCCAAGGCCGCGGCCTTCTCAGCGTCAGAGGTCAAAATACTGTCCCCCTGCGCGAGGTCCTCCACCACTCCCACCGTTCCCTCCCGCCGCAGTCGGCGGTACAGGGCCCAGAAATCCACAGTGGACGTCCCATCGCACAGGCGCCGCCATGAGGTCAACTTCGCCCGCTCTAAGGTCCTACGAAAGAGTCTACGAGTGAAGAGAAACTCCTCTCTATCAACTACCCTACCCGTGCTAATCCACCTGCACCGAGTCGCGGTCATCCTGCGACGGAGGTCTGTAAGTGCTGGCGTCCACCAGGGGCGGGAATATGCGCAGACGCGGCGCCTCGGAACAGTGCGCTCAATCACTCGCTGGATGGCCATCGTGAGATACTCGACGGCCGTGTCCACTACTAGCGCGTCTAATAAATCCCCCTAACACTGCGTTGGGTCCAAGGAGCAAAACAGCTCCCTGTTAAACTGGTGCCAGTTTGTTTTGTGCCAGTTCCTAAGCTCCCGCGTGGCTGCCCGCTCCACCTCCTGGTCTATCGTCACGATAATTAACCTATGATCTGAACCAACCTCTATCTCAGGATGAACCCCCCACTCTGCTACATGGTAAACTAACGCAGGAGAAGCAGCTGAAATATCTATCCATGATGTGTTGCCATGGTCACTATGAAAGGTGGCCGGCGAATCTGAGTTATTTAGCACAAGGAGGTTTCCCTCGCCCAGAACTCCCTCGACAAGTCTACCCACATAATTTACTTCCGTGTCTCTAGGCTGCATCACCAGCGAGAGCACGGGGAAGAATCACTGCGGTATAGGCTGCAGGAGGAGGCGCGCGAGGCGTACTACCGCACCTTGTCAACGCAACTTACGTCAGGACATGTGCCTGGGCCAGGAGAGAAGCCGGACTGGAATCCTGACTACAAGCCGGAGGCCATGTACCGCCCCTGGGCACTCCAGGTGCACCCCCATCCAACACGACCGTACACCGGCATGGGGACGCAGGCATTCCGTCAACGTATTGCGGCGATGATCGAACGCGAAGGTGGACGGATCCAGGCTTGGCGCGGCGCGGAGCTCAACTTTTTTTATCGCCAGGTACATGTGAGCCTTGACATCAGTGTACCGCACTCCGATGATCGCTGCTGGCGGATGGAGGGTGGAGGCGTCACTCGCCGTGAGTATGCGGCCACGCATCCGTCCAGCGCCTCCGAGGTATTCCCAAGCGATCGAAAGGACTTCGGGATTCAGACGGAGCCAAATGCGGCCGTACTGCCCTCCGCCGCCTTTGTGGAAGCAAGCGCGATTGTGGCCCGACGACTCAACACTGGCAAGCCGTATACGGACGTGGAGAGATGCGCAGAGGAGCGCGTCTGGCGAAGGGCCATCCGGCGTCAGCGCCGGGAAGCGCGAGCGCGTGGGCAGGCCCAGGATGACGTCATGATGGACGCGCCCACCAATGAGTCGCATGCTGTACCGACAACCACCGGCACCCCCGCGATGACGACACCAGTCATGCCACCCGGTTTTGATGGGACACACAACGAGAGGGCGATGACGCCATCGTTCCCGCCAGGATTCGGGGGCTGAGGGGCACGGGCTACGGAAAGTTGGTAGACGAGCCAGCGATCGTGACAAGATGGTGCCCGGGCTGGCGGATGACGCGACGACTGGAGGCCGCCTGGAGCCAGCTGGCGCGGCTGGAGCTGTCCAAGAGAATCTCTGGCGAGGGAGGAGTGTGAGGGGGTCTGGCTGGCATGCGATTGTACGGGACGGGCTGTAGCGGAAGGTGATACTGATTGGGTCTTTTCTTGTCCAGTGGTGTGAACGGACTTGGAGAGGTGACGAGAGGGGGTGAACCCATGTGCAACAGCTGTATCGGACAAACGATTCTGTAATAAAAAGCCACGGGGAGTCTGTCCCGACAGCTCTCCGGCAGGCCCCTATGTGACAAAGAGTGTCCCAGCCGCCTGTACCTCCCCGCCGTCGCACCACAGCCCCCCGCCAGGCTCGGCCACCGCTGGCCTTGCCCCCTCACGTTACCCGAGAGTACGTGAGCTGGCCTAAGGAGCCTCGGGGCCCTGTGGTGTACCGCGCACTCACGCCGAGTGCTGGTGAGACGCTCGTGGGATCCGGAGTGACTGAGGGCGGCGCATTACGCAAGGCGAGCGCCGTCGCTGGTGCTGGAGTGCCGTAGCACCCTATGGGAGTGCGGATCGGCCGGTACGCGCAACAGGTGGACGCTGTGAGGGATTTGCGTCGTACGATTCTGGTGGAGACCTCTGCGGTGAGGTGCGAAATGACTGTGAGCTTTCCGGGATCGCCTATGGATGGAGCTGTAGTCATGGCGACGTTGGCCAACGTTGTTGGGCGGAGCGTGAGATTCCTGGGAGCTGGCATCCATTGGGTTGGGGAGATTCTGGTGACCCTCCTTGGGTGGCTGGCCTGGATGCTCAATATTGATGAGACAAGGATGAATACGATTATAGGAGCGGTCAGAATGGTCTATAATGGCCTTGCCCTCCTCATTTTGTTCAACATGACTGCCGCCATTTTCTGCGCAATGGGGCAACTTCTGCATACCCTGACGCTCTTCATTGGATCGAAGATGAGAGGTTGTTTGATGACGTAGTTGCTGTGCTCAAGCAGCGGGCGAGGATGCTGTGGACAGGTCGAACACGGATTGGCTGATTCGATGTCCATGCCATTGAGGCTATTGTTGTGAAAATTTCTGCCTTGATCTAAGACGCATACTTAGGGCCAACATACGCAGTAATGCACATATTTGTCCCCTTTTCTTCTGCGTGTTTCCCAGGCCCGACTCGTGAGTTTTCCGGCCGACTTCTCTTCGGCTGTGGAGTTCAGCTTTGTGTCTGCCTTTTTGAAGCATCCATGCTCACCTGGGGTGCCGATGTTGTTCATTCGTCAGGTTATGACAAAGGTGGTTACACAAATCAGTATATCTAGCATGGTGACCACGAGCTGAAAGACTGATTGCAGCCGATCAGGTTCGGCTGGGGCACGTGGACGACTGCAAGTTTGTCACCAGGTATGGCAGGAATTCGGAGCCCGCTCTTTGATCACACTTCGAACCATACAGTACATGCATGGTGGCCTTTCAAACTAACTCTGAAAAGTGGTACCTGATGGAAGTTGGAGCCGACACATGCGGGTTTCAAAGCTCGCGTCTCGTGTCTCCATTGCGAAAGTGTTGTATGCAGCATAATGGCACTTGTTGTGTGCGCATCAGAAATCAAGGAATGCTAGCAGCGCCATGCTACAACAGTTGGATCTACTTCGCGTCACCAGTTTAAGCAGTGGCAAGTGTGTCCAGGAGGCAGGATCAGCATGCCTATGACCTGAGCTCGCTTGCGCGGCGGCATCTTTATTGGATTGTGGAACGGTCCAAACACCGGAGGTGTCCACAGATCTTTTGAAGTCGAAACCTTCCCTTTACAACTGGCCCCCCCCCCACCAAAACTTGTCCTCTTCTCGAATCAAGCCAGGCGCCTCTCCGTGCCTCCGACACCTTCCATCCTCTATCCACTACGACCTGTATGTCGCAACGCGTGCACGCACAAAACCACTTGGCTCCCGAAGCCGTGGGCGCAGACTTCGCCGTTCCTGGCCCGAACGCTCCAGCTCCTCTCTCTGCAACGCGCTTACTGGGGGGTGAACTTGGTGGAGATGTTGAATCCGTTCACGTTGAAGGGGTCGGCGATGTGAGAGGCCCAGCATTCGACGGGGCCCTTGCCGGTGCAGATTGCCTGCACGTAGAAGCCGAACATGGCGAACATGGCCAACCGCCCGTTCTTGATCTCCTTGGTCTTCAGCTCGGCGAGGGTGTTGGGGTCGTCGCCCAAGCCCAGGGGGTCGAAGGCCTCGCCCGGGTAGGTGAGGTCCAGGCCGTCGCCCAGGGGGCCGCCGTTCACCCTGTAGGACTCGGCCAAGCCCATCAGGACAACCTGCAGGGGTGCGTTGAAACGGACAGCGTCAGCTCAAGTGTCTCAGAGCAGTTGCGGTGTTTCAGAGCAGCGTAGGACTGCCCTGCAAGTGCCGCTGCCGCACACGCGGTGCAGGGGTGTCCGGGAAACCAACTGGCGCGCATTGTCCAATGTCCGATGCCGCTGCCGAGCACTTTGCAGACACGATGTTTCAGCATGTACTGCAGGATACACGCACACATTGATGTGCTTTGGTTTCCCGATGGAATTAGTCATCGAGATCGCGCAATTGGCTCTCCCCGCAGCGCGGAAAGCAGATCGCCAGAGGCCTGCAGGAGTCGCAGGCGGCGTCAATGCCGGGCGCCTGACCACAGCGCAGCGCAAACAGTGACGACAAGACAGGCGATCACTGTCGCGACGCAGCGACAGTGGTTGGCGGGTTGAGCTCGTTGAGGACAGGGCCAAACGGCATTCGAAACACACGAAGGGACAACGAACAGACATCAGAACAGGCCAATGGGAAGTCGAACCACCCAGAAGGGACAGAACATTTGCATCAGGACCGGCCAGTGGGCGGTCGAGCCAACCCACGGGCGAAACAACGGACGGAAACATTCGCGCCATGTCCCACCTGGCAGGCCAGGATGGCGAGGGCGGACTGCGCGTGGATCAGGCTGGGGTTGCCCAGGTAGTCGATCCCGGCGTCGCTGAAGATCTGTGCCCCGGCCTTGAACCACGTCGCCTCGCCGAACGACACGCCGCCGTACTTAGACAGCAGCTCCGGGGTCAGGCAGCCCACGGTGCCCAGCATGGCCCACCTGGCGTGGATCACCTCGGCGTCGCGGTAGGCGGCGAAGGTCTGGGGATCGGCGGACAGGCCGGCGGAGTCCCATCCGTAGTCGCCGGGGAACTCACCCGTGAGGTATGATGGCGTGGCGCCATCGGAGAACGGCCCGAGCCACTTGACGCGATTGGGGCCGTAGAACTCGATGGCGGCCTTGGTCACCTGGCGGGTGCCCTGCGGGCGGAGAAGGGCGGCGGGTCAACGGGTGCTGGATCGATTTGGGCGGAGGCGATCGGAAATTTGGAGGGAGAGTTGGAAGAAAGAAGGCCGATGGCTGGGGCGTCTGGGGGGAGGAGTTCGAGCTCCTGCCGCCGGGCAGGTGGCCTGGGGCGCGGCAGCCCGCTGGACGCGCGACATGGAATGCCGCCCCATCGGCCACTGGCTCGCCGATCGACTATGCGAACCGCCGCTCGGCGCCGGCCGCCAACCCGCCCCTACCCGCACTCCCACCCGGTTCCCAAAGCGGCCGCATCGGCTCCGGACTGGCCGCCCCCGCCACCCCGTCAGAAAATGATGGGCGCGGCGAGGCTGCGGATCTGGCGGCTCTGTCAGCCGATCGCACCTTGCCCTGGACGGGGACGGTCTTCAGGCTGGTGCCGGCGAAAGCCTTGGTCATCTGGGCTGCCATGGCTGCTGCGGGGGCGTCCGACCAGGCGGGTGGGAGGAGGGGGGGCTTGGGTGCAGGCGACGTGAGCGTGGGAACGAGCAACACAACTTCGGGGGCCGGGTTTTATGGCCCGTGCGCCGGCTAGAGATTCTGGCCTTTGCGGCGGTGGGATCTGGTTTTCGATCGGCCGCTGCCCAGCACGTGGCCGCAGATGCCGCAGTACTTTACTTCTTTACTCAGTACTTTTACCACAGGCATGTGGCGCCAGATGTCGCAGTACTTTCGGACGGAAATCACTGATTTGGGGACGGTGGTTGCGCAGGAGAGCGTGGCCAAGGGGGCGGGGCGTGGCGGGCGCGTGGTCGTGCGGGGGACGGCGGCGGAGGTTGCTGCCCCAAGTCAGGTGCGGTGGGCGGTGGGCGGGCGGTGGGGTCGATTGCCCTCGGCTTGGCCCGCGTGCTTGTGTGTCCTGTTCTCTTTCCGTTCGGTGACGTCCGTCGCCACGTGCGGATGCGATAAGGCCCTGGGAATGCGGGGCACGCGTCGAATGATGGCGGACTCAGGGGGTGGCGCGCCAGGGCGTTGTTGAGACTCGCCTGCCTTTCGGGGGCAAGGGGTGGGGGTGGGGGGTGTCAATGCGTCCTGGTGGGATGGATCCGGACTTGGGATCTGCGGGCGCGCCGATGCTGGCGCCGATGCTTGCCGTCGAACCAGAGACGACGCGTAAGGAGCGTGGCGTGCGACGGGGAGACGGCCGGTAGTCGCTCTTGATCCTGCACTAAATGGGAGGGACGATCGGATTCCAAACCTCGGTACTGTGTGCAGCGGTAGCTGGCGCGGGCAACATCGGTCGATAGCAGGATAATAGTCGTGCAATGAGTACTGCCCCTCCGCGCTCAAGAATTCTCATGCTTCTTTCAGCAGTGAGGGACAGCGCTCTTTGTATCCTCGGTGGTGGAGGAAAAGGTAATAAGACTCGTTTCCTTACTGTTAAAGGTGATATTGTATTATCCAATTGCGAGATTAGGACAGCACACAGCAAATGGCACCACGGAAAACTCGAAAGCGTGCCATGAACCCTTTTTTGACAACTGAAATTATGCAGAAGTCTCCAAATGCGATGACAGCAGCACACAGGAGAGAGCTACGCAAGTAGCCAGAGGGCAAGCACCAGGGATATCGTATGTTCACAAGTGTGAACTGTGCAAAGCTCAACGTATTTATGGAACACATCACCAGGCACATGTGCTGCTGCTAGTTTTTTTCTGAAGCACTGGATGTGGCACATTTTGCCTGATAGGGTGCTTGTAGTGTGCGGCACCAGGCGTCCACAAACCCTGCACAACCGTGACAATGTCTTCAAGTATTCTTTTCACCCCCTGGCAAAGCATTCTTTGCAGCCCCTGTGCACTGTAGCGCACCCTTGTCTTCCGCCCCCAGAACGAAACGTGATGTCCGATGCCCACCACAGAGGCCAAACACCTCAGTGGTTTATTTCAAGGAAGGGTAAAATGCTGAAGGAAAGATACAAACTAAAGTGCGAATCTGTTGAATTTGCTGTTGTTGGTACACAACGCAGCATTGTTGTATGGCATGGGAAGGCAACCCCATGTGGCACTCTCCCTAGGCACCCTTGTGCCCACCACAGTGATTGCAGATATCCCAGCATCTATAACATCGATAAGACTAAGAACTCAAAGTCGTTGTTCATATCAAAACTCTCCTTGCTGTGCTTCTTGCACTTTTTCAAGCATGAAGTTCTGGGAGTGACTCACATTTGTGCAAAAAGACACCTGTTCTGTGAAAAACTTTGCCATCATCACAGTATTTTGACAAAGAACCAGTTCAGTATTTGTCCAGTAAGTTATTCGAAAGCAGATGGTGGCCCTGCAGGACAAAAGGTGTCAAGGCACCCCTTGGGTTATGCATTCTCCTAACATCTATGGGGCTCTTTGTTCGGAGATCTCGGAGGTTGGCATATCACCATTCACTGTGGACAAGAGCTCAAAAATCTTGCTCCCAAGGGGTTGGTTTTTGGTGTTGTGCCCGTTCTCTACCAAAAGAACGTGTTAATTGCAACAGGCGTGGGTAGAATATGAATACATTGTAAAACATGAATTAGCAGACGGAGGTTGACATCAAGAGCACTGTTAGGATCGCGCAATTTGGGCCTTACACAGGGGCCAAAATGTGAACAATATTGAGAAAAACGTGGTTGCCATTGCTGATGCGCGAATCTTGGCAAATTGACACCGTTTGTGACATGATAGAAACTGTGTGAAATGTGCCATATCTCATCAGGTGAAGCCATGAAGAAACTACTGTTTTGGCATTTTCACGAAGCTGCACTCGACGCAAGGATGCAAAATCCTTGCTAGCTGCATGTTAACTTCATGATAAGTTCCGATAAGTTCCACCCAGACAAGTCAGCACCAATCCAATAGTCTGCAAACAGCAACAAGCTACATGCTCACATTGTGATGCTACCCACGCCAGGTTGCTCGTTGATCTTATCCATCAAACAATGCACGATCACAGCCACACAGGTCACAGCAGGTTCGTGCCCAATGTGCGAAGGGGAGATGATACTTCAGACCCGCTTTGCAATATGGGCAGTGGGCACTGGGCCATTCAGGGTAGGAATTCTTAATCGACATCCTTTGTTCGGTTTTGCTGTCAGTATTGCTGTTGTCGATTGTCGTGTGCATTATGCGGCTCGATACACTAACAGTGGCCAAGATAGGACTCCTCTAATTGCATCTCCAAGATCCTATTGATTATGTTGTCCAAGAGTAGAGAAGCTGCATTTGCCCCTGAAGTGGACGCCGGGCACAAGCTCCTTGATTCTCTGACGAAGGCCGCGTCTCTAAAGATTGAGGATGGCCCTTTTTGTCAGCATCGTAGCCACTGATCAATTTCAAGATTAAGATGACCACCTGTGACGCCAGCGGGCAAGTTGCCCTTCTTGCCTATATGTCGGATGTGTACATATGCACCCGACTCACTTCACTGACTCAAAACGGTCTGGCACCTGCGCTGGCCCAAGTATTGATACACAACTCACCTAATTCCTCATTGATTATATTCATTGTCACGAGATGAGCCGGCCCTTGCAAGTTGAAGACGACAGAATGGAGCAACAAAACGTCTCACATGTTTTGGGATCTTCCCCTGACGTTCAGCTGTCGGCGTTCCACCAGTGTCGTATCCGGCGAAATCGGCGGCAAGTGTAACACAGCTCATTGCCGTGCTGTGCACTGATGCATACAGCACACACGTGCAAAACAGCACAGCTTTCTCGAAGATTATGAAAGAAACAATGACGCACCTCTCGATGCACTATCGGAGACAGTGCCGCAGCTGAAGCATTAACGTCACCTATTACGTTAACGGCTTGCGGATTATGAGTGCTGGTGGAGCAGGACTTGGGCTTTCATTGAAAATGCTGCTGGCGCTACCTTTCTTTGAGAAAGACAAAGCTTGGCGAGTTTGGATGCTGGCGGCTTGCCTCTGACCTTAATGCGCAACAGTGCCGAGCTGAACAATTCCACCAGACCAAGCAGCCGCGGACTCCGATTGACGACCCCAGGGCCGCGAAATTTATAGCCTCCGGGAGGCCATCATTCTCAGAGGATGCTCAGAGTCTGAGCAAGGACCTTGTCTCCAATCCTGGGAGCGGCGCCAATCCCCCTGGCAACCCCACCCTTGGCACGCACACACACACACACACACAGACGCGCAAGCCGTCCTCCCCCCCACGGAACGCAAAACGCCCCGGGCCAATCGACCACAGTTCACTCAGTGGCCCTGCATTGACCGGAAAGCAAAGTCAAAGTCGTCAAGGCCGGGAAGCGCGCACTGGAGGACGGCCCACCCGGTGTCTGGGACTCGTACAGCGTCTGGCAGGTCGGTGGCCCGCGGCGCTGAGCCCGCTTGCCTTGCAGGGGCTTCAGTTGGAGCCGCCAGGGCGCAGCGGGTCGCGGGGGGCGCGGAGATGAAATGACGGCGTCCGCCGGGAGGCCAACCTCCAACGGAAGCAAGGGGTCGGCCAAGTCTCGCGCCAGCCTCTCTGGGTGAGCCGAGCGTGCGGCGCGGCCCGAGCGCGCAGGCGTTGGGCGGCGATTTTGTCTGTCAGTCGTCATCATCAACCATTTTTGCATAACAAGGCAGTGAGGTAGCCGCCAGCCGCTCATTTTGCCCGAGAAAAGCCGTATCTACGATCGGTTCATTGAAACCCAATGTACACACAAACGATGTCTATGAATCTAATAAATCCGAATTCCAAGAAGCGGTGTCATTTTCGCTCTTTTTGAATGGGCATGGGGCGGAGTGGGGCCATTCGCCTGGGCGGATGATTGGGAGTGCGGGGGCACCAAGGTGGTTGGATTCGCATGAACGCGTCGACAAACTTTCAGACTGGAAGGCTGTGCAGGGCGGGCCATTTTCAAGTGTCGACATTCGGCACCGTGTGACTGCAAGAGAGGAAAAGGAACGGGCTGGAAATGCGCACTGTTGCGTTTTGCGACCCACCTGGTTGCGTGGAGGGAACTTGATGTCTGTTCATATTCGACAGAATTCTGTCTTTGCTACTTCAACATGAAAACGCTCCATGAAACAATCTTGACTTTATAGCATCACCGGAGTTGCTGCATACCACATGTGACATGCACTGTGCAGACAGCCATGGACATCTTTGAGCGTACAATATCCCCCCTCTCTATTTTTCAAATGTTCCTGTGTTCTCCGACAATAAAGTCTATAATGAGAGGCTGGCACACTGGAAGTATAGCCTGGCATGGTTTTGAGCACACCACTTTCCCTTTTCCAAAGATGGTAAATGATGTGTTGTCGAGGCGACAAACCGAACCGCAAAAATGTGTCTTTTTGGCGATGCTCAGCAGTCACCTCATGTTGGTATCTACGCCGAACGGACATCTTCAACTGATTGATTGCTGCCCACTGCATATCCATCAGAGCCTATAGGACCCTCTCTAAGACGAGCTTTGTCGATGAGTCGCTCTTCGGAAAGTCCAAGGCAGGTGACAAGGCCACAACTGCACAGCCTTCTGCCTCGCCAAAGGTGAGTGAAAGAGGCCAAAACACATAATAACCTCGGGGACGGTATATTGTTGGTTTTTATCGCGTAGCCTGATAAAATGGGAATTATACAGCACGGTGCATTTGCCCAGCCCTGCCTCACTCTTTGCTGGGAAAAGCTCAGTACCCTCATGCGCGCTGTGCCACGCTGCTGGCCCTCATGAATCGCTCATTTCTTAAGATTTTTTTTGGGACTTGCCTATTAGAGATTCCTATACAGCAACTTGCTTCACCTGCCAGTAGCCATGCATTCACTTGCTTGCCCTGGTTGAACTATCGCCGTAGTCCTCCATTCTGGGCGCGCGGGAAGGACGAAAGTGCTGCCGACACTGTGCCGGCCGTAGCTCAATGCATCCTGCTGCAAGCGTGTCGCAGGAAACGGCTAAACATATCATCAACACTAAAGTCGCACTGATGATATGTTTGATTCGATGGTATTCGCTGGACCAGGGTGGCACATATGCATATGCAGCGCCGATGCAGAGAGCAGTGACCATTTTTTGCATGAGCGCCGCGACATCGCCACACGGGCGCGCGGCAACCGACCACAGACTTTCCCTGCGCAGATTAAAAAGACGGCGTCCGGCATGTCAAGCCTGCGTCACGGCGACGCCGTGGCTGTCACCAAGTCCGAGCTAGCAAAAATGCTGTCGCCCTCGCCGGTGGGCACCGTCGACGAGATCCAGAGGCGGAAACGGGCCAAGGAGGAGGAACTCCAGGCGAGGATGGCCCAGTCGCAGGCGCGCAAGGAGAAGATGCTCAAGGTACACGGGGCGCGCCTAGGGTAGGAGCCATCAGAGGTAGACATCAAGGTACAAGGGAGAGGCGCCGCGGGAATGGGGGCAGTTGTGTTGTGGCGTCAAAATTAGTGCAGGGTCTAGTACTTTACTTTAGTACACTGCTTTGCATCAGTTTTCTTGAAAGGGTACTGGAAGCCGGGGGCGCTAAGCTTGAACCGTGGCGGCGAAATGTGCGCGAGATGCAATGATGCGAGTTTTGGGCGACGTGCCTGTCCATTCCTTTCTAATGGAGATGTAATCGCCCGCCGCGGATGCGGTCACGGAGCAGGCGCCGGGGAAGGCTCGTTGGAGCGGTCTGTGTCACCAGCCTGAATGCATGAGAGCTTAGGACAGATCAGATGAGGGGCGTGTTCATGTCGCTCGAATGTTCAGACGACTCGCCAGTTTTGATTTCAGGGAACGCGACAATGCCAAGCCCGTTCGTGTTCGCAATCAGCCCCCAAATGGATTCGCACAATTGCTGCAGTTTTGATCCAGCGCTGGTTCGCATAATGGGGCAAAGGCACATCAAGATTGTCTTCGCAGCCGAAAATGAATGTAACGGAGCTCAAAACGACGCATCAGAAATGGTGCCGGCGTTGGCAGTGCACCACCCATCCAATGATGAAATCTTGGGCTGAAACGCACAGCGACCCCACGTGGCCACAGGCCGCTCCGCAATCACCGAATTGCGCGTTTGCAAGCAGGCATTGCGGCAACTTCTTTCACATTCCCAGTCGTTCCGGATGCCCTGCCAGCGTTCTGACACCGCATCTTGGAACCGCCTTTGCAGATCGAGGAAGAGCGAAGGAAGCACGTCCCCAAGACAGAAACTGAACAGTTGAAAGACAAGGAAAACAACGGTGTGATTTCGCGCCAGACCGCATTACTAATTGCGTCTCATCGGACTGATCAATGTAATACTTAAATCGTTACGCCGCACTAGTTTTCGCCTGCACGAAGATATGCTGCACCTCTCCGTGGAACGGTAGAGCTCCTTTCTGCACGCTTTGGAATTCTCCTTGCGCCCATCTGAGAGGCCATGGCGAATCTAAGTGCCGCTTTGCCGGAATCTCTGTCGCTGAGCCACCCCCTGATGTCTGTGCCGGCAGCCATGCAGGTCCAACTGGTTGATCAGTTGCTTAAATGCTTCTATTTCCCCATGCCCAATGGGGGTCAACTGGGATCGCAAAATGCAACGGCGGGCCCACCCGTTCGATTGTGTCTGAAGCTGGACGCGAAGCCCATGGAGAACGCACTGCAAATATCGGGAGCGCAATTCAATGCTCTATCACCTTATAATAATTGCGATGAACAGCCGGATTCTGAGTACTACTTGGCAAATGAATATTAATTGAATGTGAACACCACGCGTCATGCTGACGCGTTGAGCATTTTCCTTGCTAGGAACGCTCTCCCGAGCCAAGACTTTGTTGGAGGAGGAAATGGATGACGTCAAACACATGAACCAGATGATCCTGTACTCAAAATGCGTGACGATAAGGGACGCCCAGATTGAAGAGAAAAGGAACATGATGATCGAGTCGGAGGAGGAGAGCCGTCGACTGGATTTAATGATGGAGATTGAGAGATTGAAGGCCATTGAGAATTACGAGGTAACGTGGCAGTGCCACAAATGTGCAGGTATTCTGGATTGAATTGCGGTCGCTGATACGCAACTACGAATGCATGAAGCATCTCGGCTGCAGTCTGGCGCGAAAACTTCTAATTTGAAGTGCAGTGCGCTGCAAGTTTCTGAGTTGAATAGATGTTATTTGAATAACATTCTAGTTTGGATGTAATTTGAGTAAATTTCTAATTTGGAAAGCGAGTATGCTGAAAGTTTAAGCATGGCTGATCTCAAACTGCGCACAGCCGTATGTGGAACGAGGCTGACGAAGAGCGGTACTGTCTGTGAGGTCCCAAATATTGGTCCTATTTCAGTGGCCATTCGTCATCATCCATGGGAACAGAGAAGTGTCACCGTCAACATGTCATGTTACTCTCATTGAGGAGAAATATCTAAAGCTCTCGGGACTACTTGCGCATACATTGACCCCTTATCAGCTGCGAGCTGTCAGCAAATCGATCAACATACCCGTCAGCCGTATAGACTGCTATTCTAATGCCCAATACGGCTGAAAGAGCTCCAGAGCTACAAATGACCGGAAAAAGCTCGGCGCAGAATAACGGATTCAAAATTCCCACTCCTCTTCCTGACAAAGGGCAACGCCATAGCGCCGAAGCCAGGGAGCTCCATCGAAATGCACATAGCCCATATTTCACAAAATGCGATGAAGGGTTTGACGCGAATGTACACCGCAACGCCGAAACTGCGTAAGCCTATTCCGGTGCTGAATTGCACCTCTCAACGTTCCCAGCTTGCGGAAGCGCAACGGGCTGAGGAGCGGAAACGCGGGGCCGCAGTGCTGGCCCAGCAGATCGAGATGCGGGAGGGAGAGCGCGTTCGCGAAGAGGAGCTTCGGGCGCGCGAGAGGGAGCACATGCTGCGGGAGGTCGAGCGGCTCAAGGAGGAGGAAAGGAAGCAACAGGTGCAATTCTTGGATCGCGCGCGCCCTCGCTGGTCATCAGGGCAATCGCATCCCATGTGGGTTGACGGGCATGTGCGTCCACAAGACGTTTGCTCGTTCCTGTTTGGGGCCTTTTTCCATTCGCCGCCTATTGGCCGCCGCACTCGCTCATCGTCCTCGCTGTCGAAATAAGGGCAAACTTCGCAGCGCTTAGTTTGGTGATGGAGTGGTATTCAAACACGGAATCGGATTGCGTGAGATGACTAATTTGATCAATCTTGGCCTTTACGTGTGTTGCTCAATGTCTGCGGTACTTCTCATTGTGTCAATGCCTATAAATTGAAACCAGAAAATGGGCCAGACCCTGTTTTAGTAAATTTGTTTGGTGGTGGGAAAATGGCCATTTTCTGACGTCCCCTTGTGAAAACAACAGGTTAGAAAGAAGCTAGTGGCAGATACGATGATGGAGGAGGTCGCGGTGGCCAATGCGGAGCAGATCAAAAGGAAGGAAGTCATGAAGGAGAGGGAGAAGGCGGAGGACGCCCGCATCCTCGATTACATACGCCAGAGGGACAAGCGGCAGCAGGTGAGTCCGTGTACGTGAGAGCACTTGAAATGGGATCCGCTACCAAAGAAAAGGCACCAATGCTTGCGTTACCAGAGCATGAAATTGGTTTGCCAGGTAGAAAAAATGCGCTGCACAGCGAGCTGCAACGCCTCCATGTCTAAATGGCCGGGGGCGGCAATTCATTCCGACAATTTTAGCATCCGATTGTCCAAAGGGCAATTGGCCGTGCGAGAAATTGCTGCGATTTCTCTCACGTCGCTTTTAGGACCTCACCGTCGCTCTCAGAAATGACCTTAAGACCAAAACACCTGCAGAATTTAGCTGTGCATTTGCGCCACTAGACGCGGTTGTACTCAGCGCGCAAGCCACTCAGCTGCCATCCACATTTGCTTAAACGGCTGTTAAAACCGACGGAGTTTCCTCCCCACCCCCCTCCAGGAGCTCGCCATGGAAAAGGAGAGGATCGCCAAGGAGAAGGAGCTGGAGACCGCCCGTCTGCGCGCCCAGCAGGAGAAGGCCGCCGACAAGCAGGCCGAGGAAGACGAGCTGCGGGCGCGGCGCTACCAGGAGGCCAAGGAACGCGAGTGGCGATCCAAAGAGCTGGAGGCCAAGGACAAAGAGGCGGCCATCATGAAGGATCTGGCGGTGGCGCGGGAGGCGCAGAAAGCCGCCAAGATACGTCAGCTGGCTGACGTGGCGCGCGTGGAGCAGCTGGAGTTCCAGAGGGTGATAGAGGCCAGCAGGGAGAAGGAGAACAGCGAGAGGCAGCAGGTTTGCACCTCCTCAGTGATGACAAAGCCGTGCGCCAATAAACCGAGCACATTTGCAAAACTGTCATTTTCATTGTTATGTTGCTTTGATTAGAAGGACTCAAATGTTGCTTTGGCAATGGAAGCGGTGTTAAAATGTCTCCAGATGTTGTTGTATTTCAGGCGATTTTGATTTCGTTTCCACCGGTGCGGTTTTCCAGTTTTACTCTGTGCGTGCGTTGTAAATACCGTACGCCTGCGATCAGGCTTGGTTTTTACGTTTACGTTTACGTTTTTACTTTTACGTTTTTACGCGTAAAAACGTAAAGTTGCAAAGGGCCCTATTTTTACGGCTATTTTTACGTTTTTACGGCTCCCTGGCACACGTAGTTTACACGATGAAAGTTGCGTACAATGATCGGTCCTCCGCAATCTCCATCATCCGGAGCACAATGTCCACCTCCCCTTTTGGCAAGGGCGATAATGGAGGTTAGCAAAAACTCGTTTTCTGCCTCTTCCAAGGCGTCTGGCTGCCACTCTCCGGACTCTGTAAATCTATATGTACTGTCCTTATGTACACCAGGCAATTTTTACGTTGTATTTACGTATTTTTACGCATTTTTACGCGTAAAAACGTAAAAACTATTTTTACGCGTGAAAACGTAAATACGATCAATTTTTACGGCGTAAAAACCAAGCCTGCCTGCGATACACCCAGCGCAGGTTCATCCAAATGAGCTGCTTATCCAAGAAGCAAATTGACACGTCGTGCCACATACCAACACTGAAGTTTGTGGGCGTGCAACTCGTACTTACCGAAATTTAGATTGTTACTATTCACCATATTGCATTCTGTTATTGCACAAGAGTTTGCTATTCTCCATTCTGTATTCTAGTATCCTGCGTGAAAGTTTTTCTTGTGAGTATCGTTCAAGAGCACAATGGAAATGAACCGCTCATCCGCGCGCAGGCCGAGGCGCAAGTCGAAGCCAGCATGCAGTACAAGGAGGAGCTGCTGGCCCAGGTGGCGGCCAACGAGCAGCGGAGGCTGAGGGAGCAGCAGGAGAAGCTGGAGGAGGGGCGGCGCATCCTGGACGACGCCGCGCGGGAAAAGGCGCGCCTGCAGGCCATCAAGGAGAAGAAGCTGAAGGAGCTGGAGCGCGCGGGCGTGCCGGCAAAGTACAGGGCGGAGCTGGAGAAGAAGAAAGTGGGAGGGTGGTGAAACTTGCGCAGTCGTTGAATTGCGCCTGTCGCGTGACAAGTCAAGGGCCTAGCGCCAAACTGGCGATTCCGGGCGCGGTGGCGAAACGCGATGTGCTCGAGCGCAGGCGGTGGTGGTGGGGCCGTGCGTGGCAATGTGGTCAGCCGTCTGTTCGGGAGTGGTAGCCCGTGTGATTGTCAGCAGAGATCGGCTGTGATGATCGGCACCCAGCACATGTGCCCGGCGCTCGATCTCTGGACTCGTGGGAAGGAAGTTGTTCGTAACAAGTGGATGCCGACGTCTGGTGCCCAGGCTCTGGGCGAATGGTATGGCTGCATGGGAATTTCGCTTCCAAGTGCGGTTGGACAATCCACCTACGTGCGCTGTTCATGCGGGCAGGTCTGAAGGGGGACCGGACAGATCCAGGGACCCATGAGCAGATGCCGCACACGACAGTTATGGGTCACCTGCATCGACGCTTGGGCTGCCGGGAAATGGAGATTGGTCATGGCGCAGTAGACTGAGATTAACGAGATTAATGAAATTGGTCATGGTCCATTATTGCACAAAAGCTGCCAGGTATTCAGGGGCGCATCCATTGGAAAAAGCTGTTGTTCTCCAATGCGTGCACGTATCTCTGCAGTTCTGTTCCTCAGAATGTGGACCCAGAGCAACAAATCTAGATGTGGGCGTCTCTTGTGCGTTGATCTTCGTAGCATGCATTTGGCCTTGACGGGATCTGAAAGCCGCGTTTTGCGTTTGATAGACGCAAACCATGCTTTTAAGGGCTCCTTCCAGTTTTGTCAGCGTCAATGCTGACATGCGCACTCCGGCTATCGGCAATGCCAGAGTCGCCGCAAGGGAGCCCTTGGGTGAATCATACACCCATTGGCCATCGAGTTGGCCATTATGGCCGAGTCCATCAATCCCTTCTGGCGATCGCTGAACCACCATGCTGAATTCAGCTCCAAGCACGAAGCAACAAATTCAAATTCCGAGAGCTGGATTCTTTCATTGGAGTGCCAAATGTGTGCATTTCGTTCGTGGTTTTGGGCTATGTTGAGGCAGTTATTTAGCGTTCATGAAACGTGGTCACTCTCTCCAGGTTCACAGCCGCGATATGGTCCCTGAGGAAAACGTGAGCAAAGATAGGCAACTCCTGGTTTGGATGCAGGTGGCAGCTGAACGCCCGGGGGAATTTCCGTTTCAATTCAGAGGCAAATCAAGTTTTTTTTGACTTATGTCGATTTCAGCACGGCTGCACACTTTCTTAACGCCAAATTTGTGAAAATTAGACGATGCCCACTTCCCCTTCAACACGCATTCGCGTTGAGTCTCACAAATAGAAAGGGTGTCACACAGAGTCGTTCTGCCCTGCGCGATGGAGTGAATGATCGAATGGCCATTTGCATCATCCAATATGGGCATAGGCTGCACACGCAAGGGACCGGAAGACTGCCCAGGGGAGCCACAATTGATTCCTCGGTTGCCCAAAACTTCGTGTGCGACGGCCTTGCACCTGCTGGGCGATGTGCAGGGGAGCTGAAACTCAGGCGAAATTGGAAACAGAACATTTCGTTTAATATCGATGTTCCACAGCTTGGTCCCATTTAAGCACATGGCCTGCTATCGGTCCACGACATGCAGCAATGCAAAACAACTCAAGCGTGGATTGTAGATGGGTGAAATGGACAGTTTTGGCCTGCGCTGGGCCTCTCCATGGGGCCGCCAGTCAGTGGCATGTGCCATTTCACCGTACAATTCTAACTTCGCCTGGACGTCCCGAATTCTCGCAGCAACGCGCAAACAGCGACCAGAAACGAAGAGGACCGCAACGCTCCTGATACGCAGACACCACAAAGGTACCGAGATTGGGACCGAGTCGACGGTTTAGTAGTTTTACGGTTTGGTGTTCGCCTTTCTTAGTGTTTGGGTAGGTCTTGGTACTGGTCTCGTGCCATGTCTGTGGTTGGCGTATTAGGGCTCAGGGACCACCCCCAGCAGCGGGTCCCCAACTTCCCCCCCAGCTTCGGCAAATGCACGGAAAAATTGCTCCAAATCGCAAGCTCGGTGGCTCCTGCCGCGTCAGCCACCCCCACCCCCGCGGAGGCAACCCGGGAGGGCCCTGGGAGGGCCACGCGCATTGCCGCGCACAGCCTTCGTCGCCGGCACGCGACAGGGCGACAGTCGACGCGCCCGAAGCCGATCTCGCCGCTCGGGAGGCACTAAGAGGCGCCGCAAAGGGCGGCAAGGGTGCAGAGGCCCAACTGTGGCGGCATCACTTCGGTCAGCGGAGCTAGCAGGAGGAGAAGATTCCAAGAGGTGCGGCAGCTGGGCGGCGCCGGACGTTTGTCACTCGCGTGAAGGGTAGCCGCGCGCGTTTTGTCGTGGTGAGGAAGGCGCTGGCGGCGGGTATCCGAGTCGGTTGATGCGCTTGTTGTGGGTGGTCAGCCCGGCCAAGGGGTTCGGAGTGTGGACCCCTGCGGCCGCGCGGCAAACGCGGGATGCCGCGGAGATGGCGGGCGGGGCCGCGCCTGCGGAGCGGTATGAGGGAGGCCGGCGGGTGGTGAATGGGAGACACCTGGCGATTGGCGGAAGGGGGAAATGGCGGGTATCGGGGGTGCAAGGGACGTGCGCCACCGGCCCATGGCGGAGCAGCTTCCGGGGCCCGGGCGAGGTCGGGAGAGGTGGCCGGGAGGAGGGGCGCTCAAGACATGTTGCGAAGGGGCATCGGCTCGCTGTCTTGGGGTTTCGTGGAGGCGGAGAGTGGTGCCCGGGGCCTACCGCGCGGCGCTTGTGCGGCGCCAGCGGAGTAACCATTGTGGAAAGCCAATGGGGGGGCATTGACGGGTCGCGTCGCGACGCTGGGGATTGAGTCCCCGCGTGGCGCGAGGGGATGATTGGCGGATGGCGAGGGATGTGCGTGTGTGGAGGGATTCGCTTTAGGGCGGGGGCGCGCGGAAGGACGGGACGGGGAGCGCTGTCCTGTAGAGGAGGACATGGCCCACCGGCAAGCGGACGGTGGTCGTTGTCAGCACTTTGTGTCAGGCCGGCGCCGCGCAGGCCGGAGCGGTAAAGGTGGAGGCAGGCGCTGCAGGGCGGGATGGAGCGAACGGAGCTTGCGGAGTTGCCTCCCCCGTCCCCCTTCCGCGTGGAGGGGCACTGCCTCAGCCCCGCATTGCCCGGGGGCATCGGGGACTGGGTACGGGGCCCGGCATTTGCCTGACTCCGCCGCCTGATTGTGCTGTGCGGGCAGTGAGCAGGCGCGCGCCGGCGGGGCGCGATGAAGAAGCACTGGAACAAGCTGGCACACGAGAGCGGCGAGGACGACACGGACGTGGGCCACCTGGTGAGGCAGCTGGGCAGCCCGCTGAGGTCGCGGCGGGAGCGGGCCCTGGCGGGCCTTGCCGGCATCGCGGATGACCCCGCCAATCAGCTCATCATGGCCCAGGGTGGGGCCGTGCGCACCCTTGCCAAGGCGGTGTCCAGGGAGGAAGGCGAGGCGCAATGCCACGCCCTGCGGTCCCTGTCGTGCCTGGCGTCCGGCCAGGGGCAGATCCGGGGGGAAATGATCGACGTCGGAATCGTGAACGCGATGGCGGGGCTGCTGCGCGGCGTGGACGCCCAGGCGCGGACCTGCGCGGCGGAGGTGCTCGCCAACCTGAGCTGCGAGGACAGGGGCAAGGAGGCGATCATTCGGACAGGGATTGGGGCCGTGCTGGCGCAGAGCGTGTCCAGCGGCCAGGCGCCCATCGAGGAGTCGGCGCTGCGCCTGGTGGGCAACCTGCTGATCTACAATCCGGGGTTCGCGGTGGAGATTGCCGACGCCGGCCTGGTGGGGCGGCTTGTGAAGGTGATGCAGGTGGGCAAGGGGCTGTCCAGGCGGTGGGCGGCTAGGGTTTTGGCGCTGCTGCTGGAGGGCAGCGACGAAAGGAGGGACCAGGTGATCGCCGCGGGCGGTGTGGGAGCGTTGCTAGCCGCCGTGCTGCTGATCGGGCAGGACTGGGAGAGGGCGGAGTGGGCCATGCAGTCTCTGGCGTGCGTGGCAGGGTGCAGGGCGGGCAGGGCGGCGATCATTGAGGCACGGGGAGTGCCTAACATCGTCCGCACGCTGTCCAGCAACGTCGGTGGGTGCAGAGACAGCGCGGCGCGGGCGCTGGCGTACATGGCGCTGGTCGACGACGCCGAGAACATGAAGCACATGGAGGAGGGGATCCCGGCGCTGGTGGCGATGGTGCAGTCGGGGGCGGAGGGCGTGAAGAAGAGCGCGATCGCGGCGCTGGGGAACATGGCGCGCAGCGGGGCTGCCGCCCAAGAGGCCGTGGCCAAGGGGGGGGCTGTGCAGCCCATGGTGTGGGGCCTGGCGAGCACCGACGCCGCGATGCGGTCCACGATGCTCGGCAGCCTGGACGCCGTCACGCGCGAAAACGCGGCCAACATGCTGGAGGCGTTCCAAGGCGGGGCGATCCCTCCGCTGATCAGGATCCTGGGCGACGAGGGCGCGGCCCCGCTGCACAGCCAGGTGCTGACCCTGCTCGCGGGGATGCTGTCCCACTGCCCGGACGCCCGCCCGGCATTCACCCTGGCCGGCGGCTTCGACGCCGTGATCAGGTTCCTGCCGATGGGCAACCCCGACAAGTGCGGGCCCGCGATGCGGCTCCTGTCCGTGCTGGCGGAGAGCGAGGAGCTGCAGGCGGCGCTGGTGGCCTATGACGCGCTGCCGATCGTCTCCAGGGGCATCCGGTCGGGCGACGCGGGAGTGCAAGCCAGCGCGCTGGCCCTGCTCGCCGCCGTGGCGCGCTGCGCCGACGGCAGCGACTCATCATTCCTCAGCAGCGAGGACGTGCGCACGGTTGTGGAACTCACCCGGTCGCAGAGCGACGTGACGTGCCGCCAGGCGGCCGCCACGCTCGCCGGCCTGTCGTCCTGCTCGCTGATCTACAAGAGCCAAGTGGCCGCCTGCGGCGCGGTGCCGGCGCTCGTCGACCTGCTGGCGTCGGGGTGCGTGGAATGCATGGGCCAGGCGGCGCGCGCGCTGGGCGCCCTGGCGTCGGGCAGTTCGGACAATCAGGCCGTGATCGGCGAGGCGGGGGCCGTGCCACCCCTGGTGTTCATCCTTGGGATCGGATCCCCGGAGTGCGCAGAAGCGGGGGTGACCGCGCTGGCTGAGCTTGTCCGCGGGAGCTCTCCAAATTTGACGCGCTTGGCAGAGCAGCGCGCCGCGGGCACGTTGGCATCCCTGCTGGCCGCCGGCGCCCCGGGCTGCCAGGACAAGGCCGCCTACCTGCTGGCCCTGCTCTCCAGATCGGTAGCGGCGGACTCCGACGACTCCCTGACGGCCGGCGTGATCACCGACATGCTGACCCACCTGCAGGGGATGCTGGTCAGCGGCGGGCACGAACGGGAGGCCCTGGGCCTGCGCGCGCTCCAGGACTTCGTCTGCAGCAGCCGGGCTTCGGAGGAGCTGCATGTTCGACCAATAATCGGCGCCGTGGGCATGCTGCTGGTCTCGGAGGACAAGGCGGTCAGGGAGGAGGCCAGGGAGGTCCTCGAGCGGCTGGCGCAGAGGTCCCGCGACCTGCCCCTGGAGGACGTGGAGGTGCCCCTGCTGGTGCCCTTCATCCGCAACGGCAGCCCGTTCGTGTGCGAGAAGGCCCTCGACGCGCTGACCGAGATGGTTCGCAAGGGGGACCCGTCCAAAGAGGGGGAGACCATCATCCGCAACCACGGCGTGGCCGCCCTGGTGCGCGTCCTGACCTTCGGGACCGAGGCGTGCAAAGTCAAGTGCGCGCGCGTGATGGAGATGCTGGTCCGGGGATGCGAGGCGGCGCAGGCCAGGCTGGTGCAGGAGGGCGCCGTCCGGCCCCTGGTGCACATGCTGGCTGTGGAGGGGGAGGAGTCCCAGGCGTCCGCGCGGGGGGTGCTGTCGATCCTCACCGGGAAGGACGTGGGGGCGATGAGCCCCGAGGAGCGGAGCACGGTGGTGATGGAGCTGCTGACGGCGCGGCGGGCGGCCAGGGGCGGCGGCTCGGCGGAGGGGCTGGCGGTGCGGGCCAGAGCGATGCAGAGGGCCGGCTCGATGGGGGTGGCGGACTCGGACGTGGGGTCCACGGGCGAGGAGGATGAGGTGAGGGAGTGCGGGCCCGGAGTGCGGCGCGGAGCGGTGGGCTATGCCGGCGTGTGTGCGCTGCTATTGCTCTGCCTGCCGGAGCAGCGCCACCGAACGCTAAGCGCACTGGCGAACCCCACAGACCCAGGCATAAAATTACTGGCTGCACCAAATCGGTGACTGCTTGCACCAAGTCACGTGCACATCATGCCCAACTCCGTCAAAACTAACCTAACCTAAAACCTAAACCCTAAAAACTAAACCTACGCCTGTCCTAACCCTAACCCTAACCCTAAACTCACCCTGAAACTAAACCTAACCTTAAAATTGAGGTTAGGACAAAGTGTGCACGTGACTTGGTGCAAGCAGTCACCGATTTGGCGCAGGCAGTAATATTATTTCACAGACCCACGAGTTTGGCGTCGTTCTTATGTCGATGTCAGGATGACTCAGCAGCATTACTGTGCCGGCTCGAGAGTCCCTTGCGAGGAAAACCTCGCGCGGGTGCAAGGAGTTACAATTGACTCCGAAGGTTCGAACATTTGAACAGAATCCCAAACATCGTACACAGAATGTATCTCCAATCTGTTCCCACTCGCTGGTTAACGCTCCGCACCCCGCCTTAATCACTCCGACCACAATCAAATACACTTCCAGCAATCGATGCAGAATCAAATCAATCCACTATAACGCTGAGTACATTCCGACGAGTCACATCATCAATACGGTGCCAGTTCCAAGACCTCACTCTAGTATGTGTACACGCATCGACAGAATTCACTATCTCAATTACCCAACAATGGTTCACGACTTTTAGGTGTTTTACAGGAAAAACAGCGGTCGAAATTGTACTGATTTTAGTTGGCTGAAAAATGCATTTTGCAGCCCACCAAAATTAGGACACACCCATTCAGGAAAACTGGTGCTTGCAGTAACCGGGAGATACTGAGCTTCACGGCACGTTCCCCCGTCTAAGATTCAGACGTAAGATGTGGGGTCTGATTGGCACGTTGCTTGAAGGTAGGGATCCAAATTCCTTTCAGCAGGCCGGCTCGTCCAGTCCACACGGCGCTGCTCTGGATTTTGGTGGTTTTGAGCGAGGGCATGTCTCTGTATCCGCCTTTATAGGAATCCTGCAATCCCTATTCCCCCATTCACTGCCGCTCAATCTGTTGCACACTGAGCTTTGTTAATCAACTGCATTGGGTGGAATGGAGTGTAAAGATGTTTATCAAGAAGCGCACCTGCTGCCCAAATTGTTAGCCAGTTACCTTCAGCAACCGTTACCCCCACGCACACACACACCCATCCATGCGCCACCACTGACACTGTGAACAATCCATTGGATCTGAGCGTCTGTGAATGGTTGCAACAGACCATTGTTGAATCCCAAACGCTCTGTTATGGATGCGCTGGTCTCAACACTTTGTGCGCCCCTCTCCACAGGACTCGCTGCTGAGCCCCGTTTCCACCGCCTCTGGTTCCCGGCTGAGGATGAGGGACCTGCCCGACCTCGTCCTGTGCCCCATAACGCAGGAAGTGATGACCGACCCGGTGATCGCCGCCGATGGACACACCTACGAGAAGGCGGCCATCTTGTCGTGGTTCTCGAAACACACGACGTCGCCTATGACTAACGAGGAGCTACCCAGTCTGAACGTCATACCCAACCAGACGGTCGTTCAGCTCATCTCCAACCTCCGGCCAGGGCTGGGAGCACCCAGTTGAGGGCAGAGAAGGCCTTGTGTGAAAATGCCAGCGCCATTGGCGGAGTCCAGGGACCTACCCATGTGATCCCAAGGGCTTGCGCAAGCGCAGGGTGTACTATAATGACGAATGTCGGGAGAACTGGTCTTGTGCTATTGAATGAATTAGCTCTGCCAGACCCACAGGCTGCTTTTCTTTGTCCCCGGAACCATGACTGCGACCCCATCGCGGGGCTGCTTGCGCCTGAATAACTTTAATGAGAGTGTAGTTTTGCTCGTGCCAGCGTTTGGGCAGCCGTGACCACCAACATGAACATACCAATGTCCTATTGGCGCACGTTCACGAGCTGGGCAGCGACTGCCTGCCAGCCACAGCCACAATGCCATGTCGTGTCCTTGCGTCAGCATTGGTCCCCAAACCGCGATGGATGTTTTTTGTTCCGAAGTATAGCATCATGTTCAACATTAATGTTGTGGAGTGAAAAAGAGTTTTTTTTTATGATCCGGTATGCTAGGTTCCCCTGCCGCGCCTATCATCGGAGTCCACAAACGCAAAACTGCAGATGAAAAAAGTGAAATGGCGCGTCCTCTGGTGGCGGCCGCTGGTTTTACAAGTAAGATGGGGGCACTGGTCTCCACGAAAATCCAAATTGGAACGGCACAAGCCCCTGCGCACCGGCAAATGGGATGCATGGCACCGCATCCAGCTGCCTGCTTCGCCCCAGGTTCCCTACCCATACACCCAACTCATGAGTTCAGTCCATTTGCAACTACAGCGAAACAGCCCTCAACCTCTTGTAGCTTCCAATCCAACAGCCACCACCCGCCCCAACCAAGGCCTGACAACGAAAAAATTCCATTTTGGATATTCAATGCCAAAAACACTTGCGATTCTGTGCCAGAAAGCTTATTCTGTCCCCATCGGGCGCCCCGTGGGGCGGCGTTGGTCCCCACGGGGCACCTAAACTTTTCTTATTCCCCTCGTCTCGTGAGTTCCTGGTGTCCAGGGGGCACAGAGACAGCTGGGCAAGCTGATGCGGAATGGCGCCACCAGGGCGGAATGGCCTCCAATTCAAACACAGTAGCGAGCGAGACTGTGCCACATTTTTTGGCATCCGCCCACTGTAGGTTGCGCCAGCCCAGAGTCCATGCACTCTCCGACCCTCCTTTCTCCAGCTCAGATTGAGCACCAAGCCTTCACAAAAACTCACACGCGCGCGCGTGCATGCACACACACAAAGTGGCTTCCCTTCATGCCACCGCATTCAGGCGACATCCACATAGCTAAGGAACATCCCAAGCATGAGAACCAGATGTCTTGGTCCCGCAATCTCAGGAACAGCCATGATGCCAACCATTCGCACTGCCAACCGCTCCATGCAACAAGCAGCTTTGGACAGCGCCGGCAGCAACCACCACGGAGCACTGCACTTCCAGCGGCGCTTTCTATTGGCCCCAGTGCCCAACGTGCCTGCCATGGGACTTGGCATGGGGGGCGCCAATGGGGGGTTGCAAAGGTCCCAGGTGCCTTGTGGCATCCATGGCACATGAGGGTCTCCTGAGCCTCAAGACGAGCAACGACTGTGCGCGCCTCAACGGTTCTGGCTCTTCACAACGAAGTGTGATGGCACAGGCCCCGTCTGATTCAAATTCAGTCCAGGAACATGCACAGCCCGGCAGCTACATCGCCGCCGGTGCTACACGAAGCTCTCGACCTGCGTCAGGCGGATCTTCGCGCTGCCCAGCCATTCAAACACTATCCGCCAGTCCTTTCTGGGCATCGTGCCAAGCTCGCACATGAAGAAACGGCCATGGCAGCCATGCTCCCTACCCCTGCTGGTCTCAGGAAACTGCAGGCACAGTCTGGAACGCATGATGTCCAGCACGAGGTGGAAGACAGTGCCCGTCCTGATCATCTCCTGGGCGGACTCAAAGTAGTAGTGGTCCCCAGAATAGAGCTCGCACTCGTTGCTCCACCCATATGACCATGGCGACTCAGCAAGGCTGCCTGGCTGCACCTCCCTGGGCTCCCCGTTGCCTATGGCCCCCACGAACGCCCAGCCCTCCAGGTGCTCCACCTCAACGACGACCTCCACGATGCCGCGCGAGTAGGCATGCTCACTGATCACAAAGTCGCACTGGGCCCCTTCCGATTGGGACCAGGCCACGGCGTTGTTTTCGTCAAGGGAGACACGAGGCCCCTTGAGGTAGGTGCTGAAGCCCGTTCCAGACTGCAACACACAGGCAAAGGGATGCATGAGACACTGTTGGATCATGCTTCCACCTCTTCAGCTCATTCAGTATCGCACGATGCTCGTCAAGGAGGTCGAAAGGAGCTCTCCAAGACGTTCACAATACTTGAAGATAGCCGCCACATCACTAGAACAGAGATGGCTCACAAAGAGGTGCGGTGTAGAAAATTGAGTGTAAAACGATTGGCCATTTATCCGCCTTTAACAGCTGAACCATTTGGCTCCAGGTGCACTATTGTTCCGACTAGTTTCATGAGCCAGGCTTTGCCCTCTGGGATCGCCATCCATTGTTCAGCAGAAACGTAAGCAAAAATGTCACAATGTACTGTCCAAGAATGCACGTCTCAAATACGACCTGCCATCTTGCCTTTGGGAATTTGTTTCCTGCAACAACAGCAGTTGAACTGGATGTTGGGGCCCCATCATTTCCAAGCAAATTTGGTACATCATATCCCACAAGTTGCCCACAGTCACTGTGACTATTGTGGGAAAAATCTGCCCAAAGATTCAATACAGGCTATTTGCAACTACACCAGTTGGCATGAACTTTGGGACAACAGGATCATCGAAAACGCAACCTCAACACCACATGTGTGCCTTACCCATTTTGAGGGCAAGGGCAGTGGCTGTCTATTTGCCGCCTCCTTGCGGCATGTGTGTTCATCGCCAAAGCCGCAGAGTTGCTGACTGGTGGACCTCTCGAAGCTGTTGTGATCCACTGGACCCTCGCTCCTCTCCCGGCTCCCTGCCGGCCACGACGCCACGCTGAACCATCCCACACTGGAAGCCCGGCTCCTGGGAGTCCAGAACGACCTGCCAAGCAAACACTTCAAATTCTCAATCTCTGTGCTCTTCTGCCCCTCTTCTTTCGTTCTGTTAGCGACTTCTGGGAAGCTCATTTGAGGAAGAGCACCCCCGTGGACAAATTGCTGTGCAAAGTCACTGGCCCAAGACAATTGCCCGTGCATGTTCTTGCTTGCAGGTCTGGGTCACATACATGGCAAGGGTGTGCATGATCAGGAAGGTAAGGAGTGTAACCTGCATTGTCAAGCAGGCAAACGGGGAATGCTTTCTCAGGTTTGTGTTGGCTTTAAAGATGTCGGACCTGTCCGAGTCGCAGCTGTAGTCTCCATCCTCAGGAGGAATCAGCGCTTGGCTGCACAACACCAAGGGGGGCACGTCCGCAACCTGCACACGAGTGCCGCCAGTCCTGGGCTGCACCTTCAGGCTCTGGAAGTCTCTGGGCGGCTTGTCCTCCAGGCTCTCCATTGCCATGTGGGCCACCCCGCTGTCCACGGGCTTGTTGCCAAGCTGAGCCTTTGGCCCAAGGAGTTTGCCGTTCACAGCAGCTTTGACCAGATCGGTGCGAGCTGCCGGCTGGTCTGCAAATGGGTCTTGTGCGCCCTGATCGTCTTCGTCACCTCTGGAAGAGCTTCTGTAGTCGTTGCGTTCGTCACAACTGGCAATGTCACACTTTGCGGCGTTGGTGACAAGCGCAGGGGTTGACGGCGGCACACTGGTCGCTGTGTGGCAGTGTTCATCTTGCTCAGAGATGGGCACTGGGCAGTCCGCACTGTCGTGCTCCTGGACAACCTCGGAGGCCTCGCAGATGCATTCAGCGATATCAGGAGAAATGTCCTCAGCGTTGGCTTCGGAGCTCTGCAACTCCCATGCATCACCTGTTTCGTCCTGCTGCTCTGGATCGTTGGGAACAGCAGCTGAGGCCGGCTGGCTGGCACTGGCACCTTCCTCGTCAGTGGCATCCTTGGCAGACAGGCCAACAGCCTTCTCTGAAACACTCTCGATGCCGTGCTGCTCATGCTGCTCCAGCAGGACCTGGTCCTCCACATCACCAGTTTCTTGGCTCTCCGCACAATCGACATTGTCAGCCTGAACTGCACCCCTCTCCGGGAACCCCTGGGACGTCACCTGGGCCGAGTCCTCGTCGACAGGACCCTCAACCCCAGTCTCCAGCCGGTCGACCACAGCATCGGCGCACTCTTGGGACGGACCCTCGACCGAATCCAGCCCCACCGCGCAATCCCCACCGTCGCAGGACACACCGACGTGCCCATCGACACGATCCACGGCGCCCTCCGGGCACTCCGGCGACCCCGCAACGTCATCCCAGCCCTGGGCCTCGCCACCACCATCCGCCGTGACCGCCTCCTCGTTGACTTGCGCGCCGGCCGCCTCGCACCCGGGCGCCTCCCCCTCCAGCTTGGGCGAGAAGATCGCCCCCTCGCCCGCGGGTGCGTCCGCCTCCTCCGCCGCCCGGCCACCAGTCTCCAGCCTCGGCACCGCCGGCTGGTCCTGCGGCTGCTGCCCGCGGGCATAAAGGCTCCCCGTGCTGTCCAGCCCGGTGTAGCTACCGTTGTTTCGCTCGCACTCCCTACTCTTTCTCTCCTCCCTCGGGGTGCCCCCGCCCAGCGCCTGGAGCACGAACTCGTCGCTGCTGGGCGCCCACTCGCCCTCCCGCCGCACCTGCCCAATCCCGCCTCCCAGCGCCTTGATCACGCGCTCGTCCACGTCGCTCAGGTACCCCTTGCCCCCCTTCCCTGGTGCTTTGGCGCAGGGCGACCTGGGCACAGCCGGACGGTCCCCACACTGGGCACGAGCCTTCTGACCCGTCAGGCGAGGCGAGGCGTGGATAGTCCCCGCTGATCGATCTGTGCGCTCTCGGTGTTCCCCGTCACGGGCGGGTGGAGCGGATTCGCGGCCACCAAAATCTTCAGAGGCCTCCACCCCCTTGGACGTGATCCTCCCCTCGCTGAAGGCGGACTGCGATCGCGCGGACGCGGGGGAGGAGGGGGGCGCGCCCCCGCGGGCCGATCGGGGCGCCCCGGGCAGCGAGCGCGGGCGCGAGGAGGGCACCGGGCTGCGCGCCTGGAGCTCCGCCGCGCGCGTCTGCATGGACCCAATGCCCCGCGTCATGGACATCTTCATGTCGCGCAGGAACTCGAACACCGCGCACACCGCCTCGGTCCTCTGCTCGGGGTCGTCTAGAGGGGAGCCCTCCGCCGCCGGGCCTTCTCCGCCTCCGTCACGATCTTGGAGGCTTTCCCGGCCGTCCTCCGCTGCCTTTGCATCCCCCTCGAAGACCAGGACTTCACCATCATCGTCGGGGGACCGGCCCCCGTTGGGCCCCAGCCGCGACAGCAGCGTGCAGCTCTTGGACCGCTGCGACAGCTGCGGCGAGTCCGGGCCCTCCGGCCCCCGCCCGCCGATCTTGTACATCTGGTTCAGGCTGAAGCTGGAGGGCCTGTGGGGGGACTCCAGCAACAAGCTGAGCGCCTCCGGCGCCTCCGCCCTCCGTGCGGGCACTGCCACCACCGCCGATTTGGCCTCCGGCCCGGGTCCGGCCCCGATCGGCTCATCCTCCCCATGCCCGGCGTCCGTGTCCCAGGCGGACCCGAAGCCCGCCTCTTCGGCCAGGCAGGGCGCGCTGGGCGTGCGCGGCGCCGTCCAGCCGCCCAAGTCCGAGTCGTCGTCGTCCTCGCCGTCACCAAACGGGGTGTAGGATCTTATCTCGCTGGCGCGCCCGCAGCCGGGCCACATGGGGAAGTCAACCTCCGAGGCGGACAGCCGGGTCGGGGACATGTTCCTGCTGCCCGTGGGCGTGGACATCACCTCCTCGCTGGAATCCGAGGAGGCCCCCCGGCCCCCCAGGCGCTCCCCGTCGGGCCCCCAGCCGTCGATCGCGATCGACAGCCCGCCCTTCACCCGCTGGGACAGCACGCTGGGCACAGCCTCCTCCCAACCATCCCCGCCCGCCCCTGGATCGCTGCCCTCCCCGCTCCTGTCGCTCGCGCCGCAGGCGTCGTCGTAAATCCCCGGCGGCACCGTGGTGAACACCTCGTTGATGTGCTGCCGCGTGCGGGAGTCCGCCCTCAGGCCCTCCACATCCCGGGGCGACTCCGCGTCCCAGCGCGGCGACGCCTTCCTGGCGCCCGCCTTGATGCCCTCCCCGCCCTTGTCCCACGCCAGGGCCGATCGGTAGAAGGCCCCCGGCGATCCGCCCCCATTTCGAGCGCCCTCGCCCTTGCCCCGGCCCGCGATGGCGCCCCCGTTGGCCTTGGCTTGAGGCGAGGGCTTCCTCGACCGCGGAGGCCAGTCGCCGAACTCCGCGCGCAGCTCTCGAAACTCCCGCTGGAGGGCCTCCACCTGCTCCTCAAAGTCCGAGGGATCCGATCCCAGGCTCCTGTAGGAGCTGTGCCCCCGCGCTATGGACCAGCCACCGCCCCTCTTGAGCCCGTCCAGCCCGCGCTGAACCACGCCACCGTCCATCCAGCAGTGTAGCTAAAGAGTTTCCAACTCGGACGAGGCGCCAGGCAAATGGGGTCTGGCGCGCTTCGGCGAGATCGCCAGTCGAAAGAGCGCCCGACGCCCAGGGCGAGATTCAGAGGACGCCGTTCATTGTCGGATCGGCGGCTCGGGCGCCAAGATCACACATACCCCGCGGAAGCCGTTGGAGGGAGGGGGTTGCTGCTCTTCTGGGCCCCTGCTCGGGATTCCCGTCCACGGGAGCGGTTCCGGGCGCCGCTGCTGCCCGCCGCGCGAGGGCGAGCCGGCCTGTGAGCCTCAGCCTCGGCAGCGTGGCATTCTTTTAAACGGGCCGGGGCGCCAGGCAGGGCGGCCGTGGTGGCCTCAGGGCTCTGCGCGGGCAGGACAGGTCGGGCCCTTGGGTGCCAGTCATCCCTTGCAATCTGGGAGAGCACGACCGCGGGGGGGTGATGACTGCGACGCGGCGGATTGACGTAATGACCGGCCTGCGGGCGCCTCGGGCAGCTTTGGCTCACCACAACTGGTGATCAGCAGGAAGGCACGACTGTGGCTTTTTTTTGCCCCCGCCCCCGAGTATCCCGTCTATTTTGTTATTCGAAGAAGCAGCGGTCAACTAGGGGATTCACCTTGCTGGGATGGTGGTCTGATTTGACTATGTCGCGAACGTTATTGTCATTGAATGATTGGTTTTGAAGTGGTGATGAAGGCAGGCAGGATCGAGGGGTGGCGATCCCCGACAGCAGGAGTTCTGTCCCTCATAGCCAGTACGTCCATCAACGTCCTTAATGTAATTCCTGGTTCCTTATCACTTCTTTACGCCCCCTGTTGTCAACAACAATCAATCAGTTCTAGCTACAACAGTGGCACCCGAATTGTTCATTGCCTCCACGGCACTGACATTCGTTCACCAGCTGCAGCAGCTACCCGCCAGAACCGGGCAGGGAGACGAGACGGACGCAGCTTTGGGACGCGTGGGGCTGGCTTCGACGCGCTGTCGCCACGGTTACTATTCCGAAGCAAGCGTTTGCATTATTGGAATAATGTTTACGAATTCGTCGACTTCAGCGTGAATTCGACTGAAGAAAACGGTTGGAAGAAGGTGCCCCAACTGGGGGCCACCATCCCACCACCTAGGTGGTAGAGGGAAGCAAGTGCCCCCAGCGCATGTACCTCTCCAGGAGGCCTGAAGCCCAAAAAGGGCTGGCGCCTCCTTCCAGCGCACGTGCGTGGCACGCTGCCGTCGCAGTCTTCTCGGAATGGCTTCCCGAGTCGGCGTGCTGAGGGCAGCTGCAGCGCTCGCTATTCTGCTGTTGCCCGGCCAAGGGGCCGGCGTCACCGAAGCTGGGGGTACGCACGAGGTCCTGCAATGCTGCGTGGGCTTCCATTGCCACCGATCGGTCGCGACGATTGCCCACCCGTGTGAAAGCCCTGTGGTTTCCTTGGCGCTAACGTCGCCTTGTCTCCTGCTTGTTTGGCCACGCCTGTGGCCTCATCGGCGGTTTTCGACCCACGCAAAGTGGAAGGAAGCGTTGAGGATCCCGCGGCGTAGCGCAACAATATGTTGTGCAAGTTTTATGCGCATGCATTTCCTTGTATCCTGGGTGCATGTTCGCCTCCTGCCAACCGTTTCGATCGTTTACCAAGCCGCCACTTTCGGCACCGCATCTGAGCCCGTGGCGCCGCCTGGGGAACGTGAAAAGCAGCGGCCACAGGCTGACTGCTTGGCGGGGGGGGGGGGTCTAAACAGAAGAGACCCCAACTACGGCTGTGGCAGTGAACAGGCGATAAGAAGTGGGCGAGCGCAGCCGAACGCGGGCCCTGCTTCCTCGGCCTTGGCCACATGCTGCTGAAAAGTCCATGATTCGTTGCGCCTGCTTTGTCGCAGATCAACTCCCTGCGGTTGTAGGCCAATCATTGAGACGAGTGCTGCAGGCCAAAGGGCGCCTGGCGGTGAGGGGAACGGCAAACGCCGGGCTCGGGGGCGAAGCTTTTAGCAGCGTTCGGGCTGCGGACAACGTGGCCTGCCCGCAGCCCGCGTCGCTCACGAGTTGGCCAGTGCTCAAGTCGCAGGGAGTGGGGGCGATTCGCAGAGGTTGATGTCATCACCCTGTCTCGGGAGACACACGAACAGGGGTGAAAATGGCACAGGCCACTCGCTTGAGATCGTATGACGTGGTCTCCTTTTGGAACGCAGTATGTTTTAGCCCGCCATTGTCAGCACTGTCTACACGCGGGCCGAAATTGTGCATAACCGAAATTGGGGCGCATTTACGTGACGAAGAAGATAGCAATTACTGTCCACGTGTGTGGGCCATGATATGAAACAGTATCTTCAATGCTGCGCAATGGGTTGAGCGCTGTCGCCTGCAGCTGCCAGAAGCCATTGTGGACGTTTTCCTTGTGTCGCAGGAGGGCGACAACGCCCGCTGTGGGCGTTACCCGTACATGGTGTCCCTGCAGAACAGGCAGAACCGCCACCATTGCGGCGGGGTGCTCGTGGCCCCAGATTATGTGCTCACCGCCGCGCACTGTGTGGATCCAGACTACGGGGGGTCACTTGGCGCTGCGCCCCTCGTCGTCGTAGGAGCCTGCAACCTCGGGGAGAAAGAAAATCAAAACGGGGTAGTAGAGGTGAGGGCTGCGTCCGAGAGACATCCAGCTGCAAGTCACCGCAACGAGTTTCGTATTGGGGCGCAGGATGGTTGCCCACGCTTGCGGCACAATTCCTGCCCTTGCACACTTGTGTATCTAATATACGTCGTTTATCTTGCTTCCTCCGTCCCAGATTAATTGTCGTCTATGACTTTGGGGGAATATTTCTCCATCATGCGCGCACCTGTTTTCAATGAAACTTCGCTTGCGGCTGTTCTCTGGAGTTGTGAGTACACCGTAAAAGTTTCAAGTCAATCCATTAAGTATTGAGGATTTGGCAGTGCTTTATATCAAGGGTATTTTTACATAGTAAATCTCAATATTTGGGATCGGAAATGACCAAAATTTTCCTTCGCCTTGCGCTCAGAAGGTCATGTCTGAGACTTTCCCTGCTTGGAAATTGATAGTCAAGGGTTTTGAGATCCAATCTTTTCGATTTTGACCTTGTTTTAAGATTCCGAGGCTGTCCTTATAACAAATTTAGCCTTTCAAATAGACGGCAATTCATCTGGGACGGAGAAACATATCACTTGTGTATCTGATGCACGTTATATATCACTTTGTGTATCTAAGATATATCATTCAAATCATTGCACTTCATGTCGGACCATGTTTGACATTGTGGCTGGCAATTTGCCAACTCGCCACTTCCATGAACAACTTCACCAACGTGTCGACACAGCCATGACAGAGAGTACCGGGGTCGCCGACGCAGCCGTCGTGTCAACCCACAGCGACACATACATATGCCGCTCTCTATACTTGATGATGAGCTTCAACCGCAGCGCTATGTACAGAAGGCGAAGCCAAACTGAGAAAGTGAAGAATGAAGAAGCGCTCCAAACGAAGCGTAGACAAAAACTCTCTCGACAGCAGGTTGCTTCAGTGCCTTGACGCATCTGCCACACGCCTCGGAGTGCGTCGGGCAGATCGGAGCCTTACCGCAGAATCCTGCGTTGTTCAAAAGTTGCTGCAGGTGGACCTGATGCAGAATTGCTTGCGGTGGCAGGTGTTTCGCCCTCTGGATACCATCATCCACGAAAAATGGGACAATGAATCAATCCAGGAAGGCAACGACTTGGCTCTCTTGAGACTGCCAAAGAAGTCCAGCCACACTCCCGTCGGCCTGCCCCCCACGCTGCTCACACTGGATCCGGGAGAAAACCTTGTGCTGCTCGGATGGGGAACCCAAGACGGCGACAGCGATAGCAAAACCAAAAACACCCTGCAGGAGACAACGGCCGCATCCTTTGTCGCGGACAGTTTCTGCAACGCAAGTAGCGCTGACAGCTGGGGTGGAATCATCAAGAAGAGCATGCTGTGTGCCTTTGGATTTCAGGGCCAGCAAGTCTGCGAAGGTGCGCCAGCTGAAATTGAACCTGATCAGGTCATTCATGAATGACAAACTTTTTGGTTTGCCACTGAAACCTCCTGGGGTGTGATTGTGGCGCCACGCCTTGCATGACCAGAATGCCCAGAGTCGAAATGTGACTTTGCAGTGTCAGATCGCATTGTGTACCCCCGTCCATCGACATGGGACTCTGTTTCCAGTTCTGATAACAAGTATGCTACCTCAAACTTGTTGCGAGAACTTGACGCAGAGTGGATGGCTTCTTGAATGCTCCAAATGGTCTACAATCCTGCTGCTTCATTGTCACTGGCGTCCCTGCATGTGACCATCACCAACCTTGTGTGGCCATACCAATTCACAGGCCCCAAGAATTTGCTGTGTTTTTTTCCTAGAGTCGTCATACACGACTGCTGTGGTATTGCGCAGGGGACAGTGGCGGCCCTCTGCTGCAGGCGCACGCCCCAAGCGCAAATATCTCAGCAGGGGCTCCCCACCTGGACGTCTTGGTGGGCATCACGTCCTTTGGCGAGGATGTGCAGTGCGGGTCATCCAAGAAACCGAACGTCTTCATGGAAATTTCCATGTTCCGTGAATGGATTGATGGGATTCTTGGAGTGAGTGGCTCCCCACAAACAGACGTTCAAATGGCCATTGCATATGATGGGAGAAGTTCTGAATTGAGGATAATGTTGCTAAGCATAGTGTATCACATTGTAGAGATGCTGATATGGCAAGTTTCGATTTCAGTTTCCAACCGACATTTGGCCAGTCTTTCGCAGCCACATTGCATTAATTTTCCGCCTTTCGGTGCTACAAATGACGAGAGAAGCGGCTGTGTGATGAGGCTGGTAGATTCTAGGGTGCCTCCGCAATCAAGTGACATGGTGCTCCCAAATATTTGCGACCTGCTGCCAAAGCTGAATTCTCTGGCACGCCGTTGAGGACATGGATCCCTCCCTGATTGAGCTAATGTAACCGCCGGGTTTCCATTTCCTGTGCC